ATTCCCGAAAGCATCCCGGCCGCGCTCCTCCAGCAGCTGGCTGGTACCTGCAAGTGCCTCAGGTTCACTTAGCTGAGTACCCAAATCAACCAGAGACCCCCTCACGTCCTCGGCCGCTTCACAGGGCGGTGCAGAAGGAACTACCGCGTTCTCCAAACACTGACCCCCCGCTGATGTTCGACTTTGTAATCCTAAAAGCTCCCGATCAGCGGGAGGGGCAGAGGAGGGGGCGGAGGGGAAACTCTCCGAGTACGGAGGGGTGGGGGGAAGCGGAGGGGGATGGAGACCCGACTTGGCCTCCGGATCAACAGATCCGGGGCCGAAAGCATCCTTAGGTTTCCTAACTTTATCACAGAAAATCCCGCACGAGCCCTTTTCTTCATCAGCCCGAGAAGGCGGGGGTGCCGCCTTGGATTGCAAAAGATCCTCAGCGGGCTGCAGCGTTTTCAGAGCAGTATACACGGCTTTCCAGGTGATTACCAACTCATCTAAACCCGGGAATTGAAGGTCTTTCCGAATTTTTAACTCCTCCCCGACTCTTGCCCAGACAGCACTATCAAAAGCGCTAGCAACGGAAAACCAAGTACAGTATTTTCTAGTCCACACCAACAAATTCACTAAGTCCGATGAAGACACCCCAAAACCTTGTAATTTCAAAACTCGTTGCAAAACCTCAGCACACGACTTATGTTCCTTGGACACCGATTGCCCCATGTTACCGCGATTGCTCACCTATCGGTTCAACAGAAGGTAATGAAAGTAAGTTTGCAGTGACCGCGCTCGCCCTCCCCCGACCTTCAATAGCGGAGCTACCGCCGGAATTGTGAAACTTTCCTGCAGCACGAAGCCAGACGAATCCTTCCTTCAACTGCGAGAACCCAGTTCGGGCGCCGTGTGTGGTAGCTGTGACACGGACTCCAGGGCGAGAAGCAGAAGGAATCGTTTATTGTGAGGAAAAATGCTCCCTTGTAAACTTCTACAGTGGGAACTGAGAAATAAGCAACCAGGGTACAAAGAATGTAAACAGCACTCACACCTGCTCCGTGGCACATACAGAGTCCTTGGGTGCCCAGGATGTAGCCAGTCACGCACCAGACACACGATAAACAGTGTTCTGATTTTTGTCAACATTCACAGTGCTGCTCACAACAAGCCCTGGGCCTTAGCTGGTCTCATATTGTTTTATCTACTTCTTTACAGATAGAGGAGGCCCTTTTTCTTTTCCCATGGCTATTCTCCAAAGAACATTATAACACTGGAACAGGATTCCTAGAGAAGTGACAGATGTCCCAAGACTGTCAGTGTTTAAGAGGCATTTAGACAACGCCCTTAAGAACATGCTCTAACTTGTGGTCAGGCAGTTGGACTAGATGATTGTTGTAGGTGCCTTTCAACGGAACTATCTGTTCTAGGTATTACAAGCTTTCTAGACAAAATGCCTATTATGCTCTATACAATTTCTATATTACCAGGATTTTTTCAAAGTAATATTTTGGAGAAAACAGCTTTCCACTATTTTATGGTCAGAAGCATCTGGTTGAGAATGTGATGTTCAGGAGAATCATCTTGATTTAGTGAGAAACTGAAATAGCCTTACAAAAATTCCATTCCAGCCTAAATGGAAAACACTTATGAAAGAAAACTTCTTGAGTATAACTGTACATGCAGTGTGCTTCCACTTGTGACAAAATACTAGTACTGGATGTTGCATTCCTGTAGAGTGAAGACATCTAGTGGCTGAATCTATAGCTAGCTTAGACAGTAGAATTGTCATTAAGGGATGTGCTTCCTGGCAGTGTAATTACTGCTTGTTTTAATGTAGTTATCTAAAGTTTATGCTAGGAATGTAATATAAGTAGCTGGTACTTAATTTCTGCATTCTTATTAGAATAGCCGTTTTGGTTTGAGTCCTTTGCTACTACCATTTCAGAGAAACATACTGATGTTCCCTTCCCTCCCTCCCACACATTGGAATTGAGGGCACCTCCCCAAAACCCACACTGTCTGTCCAGTTCATATCACTAAGTCTAGTCAGAGTTCTTTGGGATCTCTGCAAAAGCAGGGATTTTTCTTTTCACTGTAATTACTGAAATCATTCACAGAAAAATACAGTATCCCAAATTTGATGTCATGTGGTAAGTCATCTACATCACTTAGCAGGTTTCCTCATCAATTTCATATTTAATTTGAATATTAATTTTGTGAGCTTTTTTAAGACTGCTGTGTTTTGATCTGAATCATTAGACTTCAGTCAAAAAACATGAACACAGAACGTATGCTATTGCATCACACACTGGCAGATGGTGTTAAGGAAACCCTCCTATGATTCTTTACATCAGAAGCAAAGCAACCTGATGCAGTCACTGGCTCACTCTCACACTTTTTCTCTTCTTCTGGCCTGAGAACGTTTGCTATTTTGCCCTCAGAATTAAAGTGAGGAAGGAGAGAAAGTTTTCTAGTACTTTAAGTTTTGATGGTGCTAGTTGCTTTTGTAATTATTTTCTCTGGCATGGTCTCTAAGAGTTCCTGATTTCCACTATTCTCATTAATCAACTTGCTCTTAATTAAGGTGCATGAGAGTGTTGACTGTGGGGAACTTGGGCACTTATTTCAAATTTCTTTCTATTCACAGCTTTTAAGATAATATTTAACTTCAGGCATGCATTTAAGTTGCATGAAACTCAATGGCTCTTCAGAACATATGTACTTTTTGAATACAAAAGGATCTGAAGGCATCTTTAATTATTCAGATGAAATAGGAGCTGGAAAGAACACATTATGTTGCTTTAATCTGCAGTCCTCCAAACGCATTTTCCATGAAAAGCACAGAAAAAGCTGCAGAAGCCCTTCAAATTTGCTATCAGAGGGTCTTTTAAACTGTCATGATGTAACCTTGGAACAGAACTCTAGAAATGGCTTTTAGAATGTAAAAAAAAAAAAAAAAAAAAGAGTATTTTGCAGAATGTTAGGGCAAGAAGTAGCATACACTTAATATAGGCAGCATGTGTCAGAGTGCAAACAATTCATTTTCATTATTACTTCAGTGCTGGCAATGGCTACAGTCAAGAGTCACAAAGTTATACCAAAGGTCTTCTTTGGTCATTTACAGCTTACTGTAAATTTATATTTTCTTTCTAGGACTACACTGTGCTGAAAACCTGGTATTTCCATAAAACTTGAGAAAATTACTTCCAGCCCTTTTGAGAATAAGGATAGAGAAAGAGAAGGGCTGCCAGCAGAAGAAAATTGCACATACCAAACCAAACAAAGGTTGAAGTTTTGTCTACTTAATGGGTTTTTAGTAACCCCTGGAAAGTCACAGTTCCAAATAGTTTATTCTCACAGCATCACTCCGAGAGAAAGACAGTTTCCCAGTCTCTTCAGTCAATAGTGACTAAAGCACCAACATCCAGACGGAAAATCCACAGACGTTTCAGCTAGACAGGCTGAGTCCCAAATATATGCCCTGTGGCCTAAGCCAAGCTTTGTCTTAAACAGACAACTAATATTAGGCAGTAAGGTAGTCTTATAGTGATAAATAACCTTCTGTGTCTCAACAAAAATCTACTGCTTGCGACTTGGCTATAAAGAAAAAGATGGACAACTAGCATCTAGGAAGCAGAACAGTGGTCACAACACCAGCAGGAGTGAGGTAGCCAAGAATGGGGTGCAGGTACCAGGGCGCAAATGAGAACATGTGCAATGGTCAAGAGGATTAAGCTTTGGTTAGAACTGAAGGCTAACATGTAATTTCCTCCAAGGAGAAGCAAGCCAGAAGAATACTCCAGGGATCATGGAGACAGCTGTCATCAAGCTGGCTTGACCCTTCTTGCACTTGTACTAGATTAAACCAGATATACTACAGAGAGCACCAAGCTTGCAGCTACATATGTGTTATACCAAGTATTCAGTTGTAGTACCACATGTCTTTGTACAAACCCACTGAAGCCTCAATCCAGGAGGGCTGTCTGGAATATCTACAGTACTTTCATGCTGTATCATGGTTCAGGAAATCTCCTATAAGACCACTAATAAACTGTAGTTTAATCGCATCACCAACAAAGCAATTCCACACAAGTGTTACTGTTATACTACGTCATTTTTGCATTTTCCATAAAAAAACAAAACAATCAAAAAAGTCACACCCACACACCTGGCCTTCAGAGCAATGATTCCAAGTTGGCATGTTGGCCTCTGGATTATGCACATCCTGGCTCTCCCCTGCTGTTTGACTAAGCATTTGAAAAGAAATGTTGCAACTATGGAGAATTTCTGTCAAGCTTTTATGAAATTTGTGTAGTAATCTTACTTTCCTGTTTAGACAATTTCAAAGTCTGACTTCTTTCCTGATACTCACTGGTCAAAGGGGGACAAGCATCTAGAAGATGTGGCATTTATACATGCATATGAGTGAATGAAAAAGCCATCTACATTTGAGCTGGGTTCACTGAGTGCCAAGAATTGGTATAGGTCTGTCTGGTCTGTGCACTTTAACACAGACACACACTTCCTAAGAAAATGACACGCACTTTTCATAAAACTTCACAAGAAGTCAAAATGCTACTGGCAGGTGAACATATGAAGACCAATGAGAGGAGAATTTCAAGGGAAAGTTGCCTTAAAAAAACCCAAACACACACAAATAATGAAGCCTCACACACACATAGAAAAGAAGGAGGGAAAAGGTCTTGGCCAGTCTGTTGTTGAAACTTTGGGTTGTTGGGAGGTCAGCTCAAGGTGAGACACAGACAAATTTTCAGTGGTAGGCTGTAGTAAAAAAAAATAGGGGCATCACTTTATTTGATTTAGTTTAGCATTTAGGTTTTTTATTATGAATTCAGAGCATCCATGTGATTTATAAAATTTTAATCTACAGATGAAAAGACTGAAAACAGATGTGTCATAGAGGTGAGACAATCCTTGGACTGGTAAAAGAACTATCAAGAAAAAACTCTGAATTACTTAGAAGCAGATAAGATGCTGCTTTTGAAAAGCGAGAGGGCTGTGTAAAATCTGTTTGGAGCCCTTCAAAGATTCCAAAAAGCTAAAAAAGTATCATACCATATTTCTTCTCTCTGAGGAATGCAGCCTGAGACATACAATACATGAGAAGAGAAAATATCTAGCCAGCTTTATTTTGACACCACTTACATCAACTGAAAGGGATATGTGGAAGGAAAAAATACTTTTCATTTAATTTACGCATACTTAGGTCTAGCACATTTTCTTTTTCACTTCTTACTCAAATCTCATTACTATTGTTAACATATAATCTCTTTTGGCTGTGGTAAATGCAGACTTTTATCAGCATAGACTATAAATAATGTGAAGGTAACTGTGTAAGTGAAGATAACCCAGTAACATCCCAGCAACCCTTATCCAGGATGTGGAGAATCTGACATTCCTCTAGTATCCCAGTTTTCAGAAGTGCACAGCTTTACAGGCTAAAAGAGTACATCCACAAGAAATTGTGCTGACTAGGCTCAAAGGTAATCATATAGAGTGAGGAGAAAAAGAGCCATCTGTCAGTGATCAGCAGCAATGAGCTGGAAAGCTTCCTGGAATGCAGCAAAGTAGTCAAAAGTTCACCTGAATCAGAGGATTAAGCAGATTTGGCAATACATTTTTTTGCCCTCACACTCTACTGCAGAGAGTCAGTATAGGCTTTTCCTAATGTAGGCTTCCTGCTACAGACTGGAAGATATTGTAGACAT